CCCTCAGCCAGGGCATTGAAAATGGGTCGTGGATGGGTATTCCAGCATGACAATGACCCAAAACACACGGCCAAGGCAACAAAGGAGTGGCTCAAGAAGAAGCACATTAAGGTCCTGGAGTGGCCTAGCCAGTCTCCAGACCTTAATCCCATAGAAAATCTGTGGAGGGAGCTGAAGGTTCGAGTTGCCAAACGTCAGGCTCGAAACCTTAATGACTTGGAGAAGATCTGCAAAGAGGAGTGGGACAAAATCCCTCCTGAGATGTGTGCAAACCTGGTGGCCAACTACAAGAAACGTCTGACCTCTGTGATTGCCAACAAGGGTTTTGCCACCAAGTACTAAGTCATGTTTTGCAGAGGGGTCAAATACTTATTTCCCTCATTAAAATGCAAATCAATTTATAACATTTTTGACATTCATTTTTCTGGATTATTTTGTTGTTTTTCTGTCTCTCACTGTTCAAATAAACCTACCATTAAAATTATAGACTGGTCATGTCTTTGTCAGTGGGCAAACGTACAAAATCAGCAGGGGATCAAATACTTTTTTCCCTCACTGTATGTCATTTTAGGCGGAAATTGAGATGAAGGGTCTGATCCTTAAGAGCTTCTTGATATGCCGCACCTATCAGGTGGATGGATTATCTTGGCAAATGAGAAATGCTCACTGACAGTGATGTAAACAAATTTGTGCACAAAATTTGAGAAAATTCGCTTTTTTTGCATATGGAAAAAGTCTGGGATATTTTATTTCAGCTCATGAAAATGAGACCAACACTTTACATGTTGCATTTATATTTTTGTTCGGTATAGTTGTCTGTTGGTTTATTCAGTAGGTTGGACTATTTTGAACATCATCGCTGCCAGTTTTAAAGCTTTTGCAAAAGCGAACAGAAATGCATGTGACAGATTGGAGCTATGATAAATATTTTATGTTGCAATCTTCAGTTTGCTCCTCTTTCCTATATTATATGGATTTAAATATAATTATTGTGAAATAATGCTTACTTCATTGAGAATGTATGTGCAGTTGAAATTTGACTATAGAATCAATGACTAAAAAATATGTATTTTCAACGTCTGTAAATTACAAACCTGATTTCAATGTCTGGAAAATACGTATTTTAAATGTCTGGAAGAGATGTCTTTTCAACTTTCATTCAGAACCCTAAATTGAACCTAACTTCAACGTTATGGGAAATACGTATTTTCAACGTCATTTTGCATACCGGGATGCGACAATTGTGGTTTAAAAGCTTTTATGCCGCAAAATATTGACATAGTAACCATCATGTTGAAGTAAACTTGCAGTCACATGATGCTATGTTGTGTGGTCCTCACACTGCGACTTGGAAAGCATAGTTTACTAGGCTACAGATTAAATGTATTTTCAGTTTAGTCTTGAATCTGGGGGTTCCCTTTTCTCTTCATACTGTTTTTGATGTATCCATTTTGTTTAAGTGTGTTAACTGATGTCTTGTATGTTCATGTCATTTAGGTACAAAATTCAGCTCACAACAAAATGTACATTTGTATCACAGGAGGTTGGTGGCACCTTAGTTGGGGAGGACGGGCTCGTGGTAGTGACTGGAGCGGAATAGGTGGAATGGTATCAAATACATCAAACTCATGGTTTCCAGGTGTTTGATGCCATTACATTTGCTTCGTTCTGGCCATTATCATTTGTATGCATTTTTCCTCTGCTCTACAATAAAACATATTTGAAACAACATTTTATACAGCACAGCAGACCTAGGCTGTTAAAAAGCATACAAACTCACCTGATCCATCGTGGAAGATATTGTTTCTTCAGAGTTTCTTCACATGACAAGAAATAAGTAGGCCAGTTGCTTTGTTAGTCACAGCCTTTAGATAAAGATTAGGGGGTTGCTGGGAAACAGTTCCAGGATCTCAAGTCTGATGCACTCTTATACCAGAGCAATTAACATTGATTTAGATATAAAAACTTGATTTAAGTAGTGACAAATAAGCATCTCATGTAGGCTAATCTTACTTTGGAAAGATCCTGGATAAGATTTTACCTGATCTATAAGTCAAGCAAACGTTCAACGACAGCCCCTTCTCTAAGAATCCTGTTGTCTGCTATCGTCTACTTTTACCTGACACCCACTTGGAACACAAAGGTCTCAGAGTCCAGATGTTTTTATCGGGTGAAGACTCAACATGAAAAGGGCTTGACCTTCTTTATTATTATGAGCTTATCCTTTATTTTTTTATAATAATGATCAATCGTAGAGCACATTTCCCACACTCAATGCGCATACATTAAAACAGATAACAACACTTAAAATATATACAAGGTGATAAGCAGACGTTGTTGTTGAGCAGATAATGGATTGAATTTATTGATCAATTGAATACATGAACACATACCTACAATTGTTAAAACATTCTACATTATAACATTATTTAATTGGTAATAGGAGTACATGAAATAAGATACAACTCTCAACATCCCAACCCAAACATCCCCCACTCCACACACACACGGTTGACTATTACATTTTCTATGACATTGAAACAAGTCAGTATGACGTTGTTTAGCCCATAGGGCCAGTTTCTGAGACAAAGCGTAATACTAGTGTAGGGCAGCCCCCGAAGTGACTCTTTTTATCAACAGTATGCCAGAATGTCCTCTCTGTCGTCTTCTGTGTGTTATTCTCCAACCCCATTGTCTCACCTCTGAGAAGCAGAGGTTCTGTTGTCTTTACAGGTCTGATATCTGATTGGAGGTTAACTTGACAGTAATGCTATTGGTCAAAAACTCAGATTTTGAAAGGTCATAGATTCATTGCCTCGCTCTTTTTTTGGTTCCTGAACTGCTGTGGTGAGATACTCTCTCCATTTCTTTCTTTCTTTCTCTCTCCCATGAGCCACAGCTTCGTTGTCTCCCTCTTACTCTCTCTGACCATGCCAACGATGCCTTGTAATGCTAACTATAGTCTCTTGCATTTTGCCATTTATCTTATTGAGTCAGATCAATAATTTAAATGGGCATTTTTGTTGTTGTCTTATTACGAGTTGCATGTGAGGTATATGTAATACACTGCTCAAAAAAATAAAGGGAACACTTAAACAACACAATGTAACTCCAAGTCAATCACACTTCTGTGAAATCAAACTGTCCACTTAGGAAGCAACACTGATTGACAAATTTCACATGCTGTTGTGCAAATGGAATAGACAACAGGTGGAAATTATAGGCAATTAGCAAGACACCCCCAATAAAGGACTGGTTTTGCAGGTGGTGACCACAGACCACTTCTCAGTTCCTATGCTTCCTGGCTGATGTTTTGGTCACTTTTGAATGCTGGCGGTGCTTTCACTCTAGTGGTAGCATGAGACGGAGTCTACAACCCACACTAGTGGCTCAGGTAGTGCAGCTCATCCAGGATGGCACATCAATGCGAGCTGTGGCAAGAAGGTTTGCTGTGTCTGTCAGCGTAGTGTCCAGAGCATGGAGGCGCTACCAGGAGACAGGCCAGTACATCAGGAGACGTGGAGGAGGCCGTAGGAGGGCAACAACCCAGCAGCAGGACTGCTACCTCCGCCTTTGTGCAAGGAGGAGCAGGAGGAGCACTGCCAGAGCCTGCAAAATGTCCTCCAGCAGGCCACAAATGTGCATGTGTCTGCTCAAACGGTCAGAAACAGACTCCATGAAGGTGGTATGAGGGCCCGACGTCCAGAGGTGGGGGTTGTGCTTACAGCCCAACACCGTGCAGGACGTTTGGCATTTGCCAGAGAACACCAAGATTGGCAAATTCGCCACTGGCGCCCTGTGCTCTTCACAGATGAAAGCAGGTTCACACTGAGCACGTGACAGACATGACAGAGTCTGGAGACGCCGTGGAGAACGTTCTGCTGCCTGCAACATCCTCCAGCATGACCGGTTTGGCGGTGGGTCAGTCATAGTGTGGGGTGGCATTTCTTTGGGGGGCCGCACAGCCCTCCATGTGCTCGCCAGAGGTAGCCTGACTGCCATTAGGTACCGAGATGAGATCCTCAGACCCCTTGTGAGACCATATGCTGGTGCGGTTGGCCCTGGGTTCCTCCTAATGCAAGACAATGCTAGACCTCATGTGGCTGGAGTGTGTCAGCAGTTCCTGCAAGAGGAAGGCATTGATGCTATGGACTGGCCCGCCCGTTCCCCAGACCTGAATCCAATTGAGCACATCTGGGACATCATGTCTCGCTCCATCCACCAACGCCACGTTGCACCACAGACTGTCCAGGAGTTGGCGGATGCTTTAGTCCAGGTCTGGGAGGAGATCCCTCAGGAGACCATCCGCCACCTCATCAGGAGCATGCCCAGGCATTGTAGGGAGGTCATACAGGCACGTGGAGGCCACACACACTACTGAGCCTCATTTTGACTTGTTTTAAGGACATTACATCAAAGTTGGATCAGCCTGTAGTGTGGTTTTCCACTTAAATTTTGAGGGTGACTCCAAATCCAGACCTCCATGGGTTGATAAATTTGATTTCCATTGATCATTTTTGTGTGATTTTGTTGTCAGCACATTCAACTATGTAAAGAAAAAAGTATTTAATAAGATTATTTCATTCATTCAGATCTAGGATGTGTTATTTTAGTGTTCCCTTTATTCTTTTGAGCAGTGTATATGCATATATGATCAATATTACCCCACTACACTAGCCCTAAACTAAAAACACAAGCTCAATGGAGAATCTCTATTGTAAATTATTTTTATTCCAGTACTAGGGTTAATCTGTGTCCGGGAAACCACCCCATAGTGTCCACAGTGTTGAGCAGTGTTTTTCAAACCTCTCCTCTGGGACCCCCAGACGTTTCACAACTTTGTTGTAGTCCTGAACTAGCTCACCTGATTAACCTAGTCAAGGGCTTGATGATTACTTGACCAGTTGAATCAGGTGTGCTTGTTCTGAAATAGATCAAATCCATGAAATGACTGGGTGTCCCCGAGGAGAGGTTGGAGAACCACTGGTGTAGAAAACAGGTCAGTAAGGGGGTTTGGTAGTAGAAGGTGCTGTGTGTAGCGGGTAGCCAGTGTTCACATAGAAAACTGGTGATGTGGTTCCAGAACTTGGTGTGGCTGAGGAGTCCGGCAGCTGAGTTTTGGACCATTTGGAACTTACCGAGGGTACCGGAACAGCCGCCGGAGAGGAGAGGGTTGGAAGAGGACACATTCCTCCTCTGGCGTGGGCTTTCTGGTGACTTTTTAGGTGCCCTGATTGAGCGAAGCTCTTCTCGCATAGATTACAACCGTAGGGCTTCTCTCCCGTGTGTGTTCGTTGATGATTGGCCAGGGTGGCTGATTGAGTGAATCTTTCACCACACTGATCGCAGCTGTACGGCTTGGCTCCTGTGTGTGTGCGCTGGTGGCTTGTCAGTTGCCCAGACTGAACAAAACTCTTCCCACACAGATCACAGCTGTAGGGTTTCTCTCCCGTGTGTGTTTTGCGGTGGCTCGCCAGGGCTCCGGCCCGCGTGAAGCTCTTGCCACATTCATCACAGAGGTGAGGCTTTTCTCCAGTGTGAGTCCTCTGGTGGCGTCTCAGGTGGCTAGAGGTAATGAATCTCTTCTCACACTGATCGCAGGCGTACGGCTTCTCTCCCGTGTGTGTCCTCTGGTGGATCGTCAGGGATCCCGACTGAGCGAACCTCTCCCCACACTGATCACAGCTGTAAGGCTTCTCCCCAGTATGGGTTCTCTGATGATTCGACAGAGTGCCGGATTCAGAGAAACACTTGCCACACTGCTCGCAGCAGTAAGGCTTCTCACCGGTGTGGGATCTTTGATGGGAGTTTAAGTGGGCCCAGTTAATGAAGCTCTTCCCACATTCACAGATGAAAGGTTTCTCTCCGCTGTGGGTTTTCTGGTGGAGTCTCAGGGCGCTCGAGTGGGAGAAATTCTTCCCACAGGCCGAGCAGTGGTAGGGCTTCTCTCCCGTGTGGACTCTCTGGTGGGATTTCAAGTGTGCCGACGTGACGAAACGTTTCGGACACTCCAAACAAGAGAATGGCAGCTCACCGGTGTGTCTTCGCATGCGGTGTAGCTTCAGTGCGTTCGATTGGCCGAACCTCTTCCCACAGTCAGAGCAGCGGTAGGGCTTTTCACCGGTGTGCGTTCGCATGTGTGATATCAGATAAGACGAGCAGTAGAAACTGTTCTCGCACTGCGTACAGTGGTAAGGCTTCTCTCCGGTGTGCGTGAGCTGGTGGACAGTCAGATGACTTTTGTGACTGAAGCTCTTGCCACACTCTGAGCAGCAGTGGGGTTTCTTCACTGTGCGTTTCGGCTGGCGTTTTTTAACACTCTTCTCTGCTGCCTCAATCAAATCTTCTCCTTCCTCCTCCTCTTCTCCTCCTTTCACTGTTCCACTCAGCCCTGGTGTTTTCCTGCAGTCGAGCCCCAGTGAAGCACTACCCAGGGACTCTGGGAAGGGGGGCAGGCGAGGGTTGTCCTGGTAACCATAAAGAGTCCCTCCACCCTCGTTACGTTCTGCATCGCAGCTTCCTTCTGCTTTGTCGTCCACATGCGCTGACGCTGATTGGCTGGAGGCCACGCCCCCAGGATCATCCTGTATCCTTTTGATGTCCTCTTTCAGTTGGAGTAACCATGACATTCCCCGATCCTCAGATTTCATTAAATCCTCATTTTCCCATGTTTCCTCCATGATTTTACGCCGCAGTGCTCGTTGATTCTTTCCTTTAATTTCGGATCCATCCTTGCCACCTATTCCACAGCGTTCACACAGGTAGCGTAAATTGTCCTCGGTTAAAGTCCATAAACTCTCTTCGATTTCATCCATCAACGTTTCTCTGTCACGATTCATATTGTCCTGCTCACGCAGCATCAGTTGTTGAAAACCTGAACTTTTCTCGGTGCTCTCTAGAAAGCTACTCCAAGGTCTTTCACTCGTTGTCTGCTGTTCCTGAAGAAGAAAATAATTAGCTACTACTTTAGTTACCATTAAATAAATACTTTGTCAAGGGCACAACTGCAGGTGATTGTTAGATAAGATACCCCTTAGACGTGTGTTGATCTGATAGTGTTGATAAGTGTTCGGCTCTAGTTTAGCAATATAGCCTACAGTAGCTCTACTACTGTCCTCCATCTTGCCCTTTGATAGGCCAGGCTGGTGGAATTATTGCTGTATTGCTAACAGACGCCAATCTAATCCTCTCAGTTCTAGCTACATAGCTAAGTGCATAACGGGCTAGGGGTTAATTCGGGATTCAATGTAGGGTTAGAGCTAGTTATGGGTTATAAACGTTGGTAGCTGTAGCTACCCGGACCCATTGTTGGTAGTTATAGCTAGCTGGCTAACGTTAGCTAGATAACTAGCCTGCCTGCTAGCAATTCTCTCTACGACTATATTGCGTGGGATTAAAATATTATCACCTTATTTTTCGCTTAATGGTTCTTCTGTGCGTTCAGTTAAAGTTGTCTTGTTGCTCAAGTTTTTGCGATTTACATTGCATATTGAGAGAAAAATACAGTTGCAGTCTTTGGCAATCGACGATAAGGCAACAACTTCCTGTTTGACTGCGCGCAGGCCAGAGCAATCGAATGTCGACGTAGATCTCCAGTTATAACATCCGCTAGAGAAGTCGAGGTGAGTAGCAGCTAGCTGGCTAGATAACCAAGTTTGTTTTAACGGGGAATAAAACGTACCCAGCTATATTGACAAGGTGCTCACCCAAGCTAGCACTATACCAGAACGGTAGGTGGCTAATGCTAACACTACGAAAAGGACGGGTCAGTTTCTGCGAGAGCTAGCTAATATATTGTGTAGCATCACCACTATCCATCTTGTTTAACGACTCTTCACTCCTTTGTGTCTATGATAATACAATCACCGGTAATCTAGTGTGTGACGGTCAAAAACTGCATTTGTAGCACTATGAATGTTTGTAGCTAGCCGATGTCTAAATACAACAATACTAAGCAAAGGCAAAACAGGTTCTTAAACATCAGGGGTGGAGCATGAGAATTCAAAGATATGCTGCAACAACAATTTATTTTCGTTTCTCAATTGCACATTAATCAACAATAAGCAGGTTATAAGGGCTCAATTGTTGTAGTATGCCTATAAGACAATGATCAAGGTTAGAGACAGTAGCTGACAATGTAAATTCGCTCCAATCAACAAACAAGACATAACATTTGTTTTTGTCACCTGCCTCTTAACAGTGAAATGCTTACTTAGTCCTTTTCCAACAAGTATAAAAAATAGTAGCGACACGAAGAATAAACAGTGAATAACGAGTAAAAAATAACATGTCTATATACAGGGAGTACCAGTACCGAGTCGATGTGCAGGGGTACAAGGTAATTTAGGTAGCTATAGGTAAGGATAACGTGACTAGGCAACAGGATAGATAAGACTGGAGCAGCTGCTTATGTGATGAGTGTGTGTGGCGTCAGTATGCATGTGTTTGTGGGTAGAGTCCAGTGTGTCCGTAGTCAGTGAAAGAGCGTTAGTAAAAAAAAAAAACAGTCAATGCAAGTAGTGCCTATTAGCTATTTAGCAGCCTTGACAGTGTCCAGGGCATGCCCACGGAAGAACGGTTCTAGGTGGAATAAGAGCATTGCTATAAAACAACTTGGATTTTAATAAAACATTAAAGCCATCACCACTGCCATCCTTCCAGGGCACACCAACCTACACAAGCAAGGTGATCCCCTGACTGAACTGATGGCCAAACATTTATACCTGATGCCACGCCCTTAATGAACAATAAGGGACACCTGTGTTAACGGGCCATGAGACTGTGGTCAAGAGTGCATGCCTGTTAAACCAGGGTTCCCCAAAGTCGGTCCTGGGGCCCCCCCTGGGTGCAGGTTTTGGTTTTTGCCCTAGCACTACATAACTAATTCAAATAATCAACTCCTCATCAAGCTTTGATTATTTGAATCAGCTGTGTAGTGCCAGGGCAAAAACCAAAACGTGGCCCCATGATCCACCTAGGGAAACCCTGTGTTAAATAACCTCACATCATTGTGTACGTGCTTGTTTGTGTCATTGAACCCACAGATAATCATGGATCATGGATCTACACTAGAATACACAATTACAAGCCCAAAAGCAGAGCAGAATTCAGAAATGGATTTCGGAGAGAACCCCGAGTCTGAGTCGGAACCAGACTACCTTCCCAGTCCCACTGCCCCAGAACCTGAGCCCAATGTGACTGTGAAGGAAGAGGGGGAGGGAGATAGCGACATGGCTGACCCAGGTGAGTCCATGTTGGGTGAAGTTGGCCCTTGACGCTGATCTTGGGTCAGTTTGGCATTTCTCCCACCAATGGGAGAGGCTTGGGGGAGATTAGGCTGATCCTAGATCTGTACCTATGGGGAGAGAGAGGTTAGTAGTGTAAAAAATATAAAGTGGTGAACAAAATGATTATGTATGGGATACTTGTGTGAAAAAAAGAGTTGGATCAGGGACTGTTCAAAGATGACAGTAGAGGCAACAAGAGTTAGACCTAACCAGAGTATTATGTAAGTAAGCTTCAGTGGAGTAAATGTACAGACCAGATCTACAAAAAGAGCCAACAGAGACTGTACTTTCTAAAAAAGTTGGGTTCTTTTAATATAGACTGTACTATATTGACTCTGTTTTACAAATCCTTTATTGAGAGTATTTTAACTTTTTGTATTGTTTGTTGGTTTGGCAATGCCACTGTCAGTCAGAGAAACATGCTGAGAAGGATTATTACCACAGCAAGTAAGGTACTTGGAGTCAAACAGACAGGCCTGGATGAGATCTTTAAGGTCAGGGCCCTCCGTAAGGCTCACAAAATCATTTTAGACCCAAGTCACCCCCTGTACCTGGACTTTGAATTACTCCCCTCTGGGCGTAGGTATAGGGCACCCCTCAGCAGGAAAAATAGAACGAGACAATCATTTGTGCCAGGTGTGATATCCCTCTTAAATAGCTCGGGCAAATGTTCCCATTGACCCCGTAAGGCCAGCAGGCGAGTCTTTGTTTTAAATGTTTTAAATGTTTTATTTCTTATTTCTTACTTTTATTGGTGCGTGACTGTTATTGAAAGTTGTATTGTCAATCTTGTTTTGTATTTAACGCCACTTTAAATGTGTACATGACACTGCAACAAAATTTCCCCATGGGGACAATAAAGTAAGTAAGTATGTTGACTTAAGGAGAATCTCAACTAGAGGTAGGCCTAACCAGAGCGTTATGTTGACTTAGGGAGAATCTCAATTGCATTTCCTTGATTCCTCGCATCCTCTCTCCTCGCCTCCTTCTGAAAAATTATCACATGAAAAGGTCAGAGGGGAGGGACATCTGACCTCATTCAATTGGGTTTGAGGAAGAAGCGATGAGAGAGGACACAAGGAATCAAGGAAATTGAGATTCTCCCTTAACTATTCCCTTCAGTTCCTAGTGGAGCCTAGGGCCCCAACGGTGCAGCTCCAGCATTACAGTTCCTAGTGGAGCCTAGGGCCCCAGCGGTGCAGCTCCAGCATTACAGTTCCTAGTGGAGCCTAGGGCCCCAGCGGTGCAGCTCCAGCATTACAGTTCCTAGTGGAGCCTAGGGCCCCAACGGTGCAGCTCCAGCATTACAGTTCCTAGTGGAGCCTAGGGCCCCAACGGTGCAGCTCCAGCATTACAGTTCCTAGTGGAGCCTAGGGCCCCAGCGGTGCAGCTCCAGCATTACAGTTCCTAGTGGAGCCTAGGGCCCCAGCGGTGCAGCTCCAGCATTACAGTTCCTAGTGGAGCCTAGTGCCCCAACGGTGCAGCTCCAGCATTACAGTTCCTAGTGGAGCCTAGGGCCCCAACGGTGCAGCTCCAGCATTACAGTTCCTAGTGGAGCCTAGTGCCCCAGCGGTGCAGCTCCAGCATTACAGTTCCTAGTGGAGCCTAGGGCCCCAACGGTGCAGCTCCAGCATTACATTTCCTAGTGGAGCCTAGGGCCCCAACGGTGCAGCTCCAGCATTACAGTTCCTAGTGGAGCCTAGGGCCCCAGCGGTGCAGCTCCAGCATTACAGTTCCTAGTGGAGCCTAGGGCCCCAGCGGTGCAGCTCCAGCATTACAGTATTAGCTGGCAATTTAATTATATTTGTTTGGTTATTTCAGACCACCTCCCAGGTCTCACCGTGGCAGAAGGACCCAGATTTAATATGATTATCAAAGAGGAGGAGGAGGAGGAAGATGAGGAAGAGGAAGATGACATGGTTTACCCAGGTAAGTCCAGAGGCCTGTTCAGAGGATGTAAATTCGGATCAGATAGAAATGTATGGTGTGGAACAGAAATGATTGCCTGTCCGATAGCTAGAATAGAGCAGGGGTATTCAACTCTGACCCTACGAGGTCCTGCTGCTTTTCTGTTCTACCTGATCATTAATGGCACCCACCTGGTGTCCCAGGTCTAAATCAGCCCTGGTTAGAGGGGGACATGAAAACAAGCAGTGGAACTAGCTTCCAGTTCCAGAGTTGAGTTTGAGGGGAAGAGGGAATCGCGTCAGCTCCTTTCATTCTATTTCTATCTGCAACTTTCAGATTGTTTCATGTCACTGAATACACCCTTGGTAGGTGGGCCTGTGGGGTGTCGGGAGAAAGTTAGTGTCAGAATAATGTTGATAGCACAACAACATCATGCTCTGCCCGATAGTGTGATTTGTGAAAAAGGAAGGAAGGGAAGGGTTGCTACAGTGGGGGAAAAAAAGTATTTAGTCAGCCACCAATTGTGCAAGTTCTCCCACTTAAAAAGATGAGAGAGGCCTGTAATTTTCATCATAGGTACACTTCAACTATGACAGACAAAATGAGGAAAAAAAATCCCA